TATGCCAGGAACCATCAGAGCAGGGTCTTTCCTCCTCATGGCTGGCAATAAACCCACGGTCACACTCTGCTCTGTTTGAGACATTTGTTCCTGGTCTCACTTTTCAAGACCCCTGTCCCATGAAAATCTCCTTTTCTCCCGACTCATTTCAGGTAAGCTCCTCTAGACAGACTCTACCCTCTCTCTACAGGTCCTCTCATTTCCTCTCCATCCTCTCCACTTCCTTTCCCCTCTTCCTGCCCTTATCTCCATTCTCCCATCTCCCACTGGATTTACAGTTACTGCAGTTCTTCTGAAAGACAGTCAGAAAGCAGTTTGGAGGTGATGAATGAATCAAAGAAGAGGGAAGCCTGAGACCTGTGTGCCAGTCTGTCCTGTTGACAGAGGCAGCCCTTTTTGATGTCATGGAACTCTGGTACCACAGGAACCAGGGCAGATGTAGACATTCATTGGGTCGATGCTACAGGTGACTCTCAGCGATGTTCAGCAACAGTGCAGGGGCAGCAGTGAGGTGAAGGATGGGGAAGATGGCAGCCTGAGACCTAACCTGGAGGATGGATACTGAAACCTGTAGCCTAACATATCATCACACAGGACACAGATTTCCAGCCTGGATCCTTCTTGTTGCACTAAACCACACCAAGACTCTAATTCAATTCACTTTCCCCAAATAAAACCCAAAAGAATAAAGAAAGTGTCTCTTTTAGTGAGACTTTAAGAGACAGGACTTACTCAGCACTGAGGAGGATGGGACTTCACTGACCAATAGTGCTGCACTTTTCTCCTGCTGCACCCCAGATCTGTAGGAAAGAACAGGATGTTATTTCCAAGACAACATCCAACTTGTTTGCATTGACACATGCTAGGAACCATCAGAGCAGGCCCTCTCCTCCTCATTGCTGGCTAATCCTAGCTCCCTCCCACTCTGCACTTGAGGGGAGGTTTGTTCCTGCTGTAGACTGTGCACGGCCCCTGTCACAGGTCAGCACACACATCTCTTTCATGTTACTTTGTTGACAGGAAGTTCCTCAGGACAGACTCTACTCCGTATTCTACACAAACTCTCATGTCCCCTATTCCTGTCTCGAAACTGTTTCCCAATTATTCCTCTTTATCTCTTTCACCCACCTCCATTTTCCAGAGGATTTACACAGGTCTTGCTGTTTTGTCCAAAAGGCAGTCACAGAGTAAGTTGGAGGGTTAAAGTGACCAAGATGATGAGCAGCCTAGATTGGTATGAAATCCTTCCTGATGGTAAAGGCTGCTGTTTTCCATGCAGTGTGAGTGGTCCTACAAGCACAACCAAAGCTAGGAAGGTAGAGGGTCATGGGGTCCAAGTGCCTTATGACCCCCAATTGTCCCACAACAGTTCTGAAGCTGGATGAAGCTAAAAGAGATGCAAAGTGGCACTTCAGACCCAATAGCTGGAGGATGAATGCAGGCAGGAGCCTGTTGTCCTGGGTTGGATGGAGCTGGCACTCTGGAGATGAGTTCTGGCTCACTTCTGTGGCAGTCACTCCTCACCAGGTCTGGAATTCTATTGGGCCACTTCAGTTTCCACACTTCAAAGGAGAAAGAAACATGAAAGCACCTCTATTAGTGACTTTGACAGATAAATTTCTGTGTTATATTTCCCTTTCTGATTCTTCCATTCTGAACCTTTAACGCCGTTAGAAAAACTCTCCTCCCTTCCTTCCCACCCTGTCGTCCCCATGTTAGGCTATCTGCTTTTGCCTCAACCTGCCAGGACTTTACATGAACAGGAAGCTGTGAATTTGCCATCTAATGTACTACATATCAAATTCTGGGCCTTCTGAGTGGGTATAAGGATATTAAAATGGCAGATTGAAAAGACAACATAGGAATTCATCTGTGTGGCCCAACCAACTCTTCTCCATATAGGTCTCCACTGTTCTCTCTTTCCTTGTAGCCCCTGATGCAAGGGTTCAGGGCTCACCTTGGGGTGGGCAGGCAGCAGCAGCAGCAGCAGCTGCACAGTGCTCTCAGTGCATGGGAAATTTGCTTCCTCACCAGCTTCCAGACCCTGAAAGGCCTGGATCCAGATGTTGTGGGTGCCACATGGGGCTGGTCACTGGGAATGTCTGGCTCCTGGGATGAATCTTCTTCACAGAAGCCCAGGTTCAGAAATCCCATGGGTGTTGCATCCAAGACTGATTCAGGGGAGGAGAGATTGCCAGGCAGGGAGTCAACAGAATTCTTCTTGACTTTAGTGTCCTCTGTAGCAGTGTTGATGACGTCAGCCATAAGAGCATCTCTTTCTGGGACTGTGTTGTCTGAACAGGGCAGCACCTCCAGGAAGGAGGATCTGTGAGGCATGGTGTAGCTTCTACATCTTTTGCCTCTTTCCTCCACACTCTGCTCCTTAACGTGACCCTTCCCAGCATGTGTACTGGTTGTAAATGCTGGTACACTGGCTCTCTTCAAGAGGAGAGGGAGGCAAACAGGAACTGCAGGGCTGTTGGTTAACCAGGGCATCTGATCTTGCTGATGGCTGTCCCCACCACTCAGCTGATATTTGAGAATGTTGCAAGTAGCTGTTACATGATTATCTTCTCGCCTGTGAGTTAGGGATGAAACAATCTCCTCACAGGTATAGCCTATGGTGCACATTGTCTCCACGACCTTGGGCAGGATTTCTTTGGTGGCAGGCAGTACATGTTCTTGAAT